TTCATGACTTTGACACTTTTCTTTAAGTACTGATTAGTTGTTTTGTAGAGTATCTATCAGTTTGTATTTGCCTGCTATTTTCATGTGATTAGAATGAATTTATAAATTTTTGGCAAGAATACTGCTAAACTAGGAATGTCTGTTAGTGTGTCACACCAAGAAGTGCATAACTGTGATATGTTTTATTACTTACTGGTTTATTGACTTTGATGATATGCTTAAGTTTGTGTTCATGGGTTTTCTCCACTCTAAATTCACTCTCTTTGTATCTGTAGTTCATAATTGTCTTGGATCCACTGAGACTGTAAATCTTGCTTTACAGGCTTGCACTTAGTAATAGCACTGGCCCATGGGTTCTATAGTATTTCTTTTCCCTTCTGCATTTATTAATTGTGATTCCACTGTGAAGAACATTCTCATCAACATGTATTTATTTATTCAATTTATTTGCAACAGAATGGACTTATGGATATTTAATTTAGTCTTTAAAGTCCAATATTGTTATTTATTTTGTTGCTCAGATTGTTCCACTTTTATCAACTAAGATACTCTCTCAGGTTGGCCGTTGTGTTCTTATATCTTTGGGCTTTTTCAAAGCATCTCTTTGCTTCCTAGCACCACAAGATATTGTAAACTCAGCTGGTGTTTTCCTTGCTCCTATGGTGGAATCAAGCACTTTTCCAAGTTCCCTTTATTAGAGAATGCAGTTTAGAGAACAAGATGGGGAATGTAAGGAAAAGGCTACCCTAATATTTATTTAGAAAATTAGTAAGCTTCTGAGTGTACAGATTATAATAATCTGTTTTTAACAAGTTAATACAGCCAAGTATTACAGGCATTTGTTGAAGTTCTTAGAATGAAAGCTAATTGTGATGTCTTCTGGTTGGTTAATCACATTTAATAAGTGGATGTTTTCACTGTAATCAAGAATGAAATTAGTATTGAACAGCTTGACTGATACCTGTGAACTGTGAAATGTTTAACATAATGCAAGTTAATGACAAGGGGAAATTTCAAGGAGGGGAATGACAATAATTTAAATAGACAACCAAGAGAAATAAAGTTAATGATCTAGTGTATTATAACCTGAGTTTAAAAGTTGAGATCTTTGTTTGCTCAGTGAGAAATTAATATTTGGTTTTCTGCATTGTTATGTTAGAAAGAAAGGAGAGCTCAATTAAACACATAACCATATTTTAACTGAGCACTTTTGTTGTTGTTCTAAACTGCTGTATTTACACTATTTCTGTATTAGCTCAGGCTGTCCATTCGCTTAGGCTGCCATAACAAAATGTTGCACACAGGGTGGCTTAAACAACAGAAATTTACTTTCTAACAGTTCTGCAGGCTGGAAGTCTTAAGATCAGGTGCTTGCATGATCATGTCCTTGTGAGGTATGTCTTTCTTGCTTGAAAATTGTCACCTTCCTGCCATGTGTTTACAGGGCCTTTACTCATTTATCTTTTTTTTTTTTTTACTTTAAAGAGTAAAAGAAGGATAACATAGTAATAGGGGAAGGTTTACCAGATTACAGACAAAGTGGTAGGAAATTATCAATGGTTGTTGTTTTACATATTGTTATCTACAAGATAGTTTCTCAGGAAAACAAATAGACCAATAATAGTGAGTTACAGATAAAAGAGGTAGGAGAGTATCAATAGTTGTTGTACTACACTTTGGTATCTTCAAAGTGGCTTCTAAGTGGCTCCTAAAGAAAATAAATAGAGCAATACCTGAGTGACCAATTGAATAATCATGAACTATTCTCAGTGGTTGTTGTAGAAAACACATAATAATAAACATACATGCATTTATGAAATAGCATAGGAACAATACAAACATTACAGAGTTACGGACAGATTGGTAGGAAAATATCAATGGTTGCTGTAATACCTGGTGGTATCTTCAAAGTGGTTTCTCAGGAAGACAGAGATACGCAAGAAGGATCTAACAAGTAGTTACAGCCTAATGGTTGTGAAAAGTAGCATATTAACTCCTCACCAGTGACTCCTTTCCCTATGTATGACAGCTGGAAGGAAGGCCAGGATTGAAAAGAAGGACCAAGAGACTTGCACCTGTGTCTAGCAACAGGCTGTTTTCTTTTTCCTCCATAGTCATGATTACCCAGGGCTCCTCCATGGAGATGACAGTCTGGCCAGAGGGAGAAGGCAGAGTATGCCCTGGACCCCCTCATTCCTGTTGGACTAACTGGTAGGATGGGTCTGATCTCTAGGGCCTCTGCTTCAGAGGGCAGGCTGATCTCCAGTGGTCTCCTTTGCATTCAGGGCATGGCCCAGGGGGCTTCTTAGGGCAGTTCCTCTTGAGGTGGCCTGGCTTTTAACAGTGGTAGCAGACGAATGCAGTCGTTGAGTTCTTCTTGGGGCCCCAAGAATCAGACTTAGGGTCTGTTTCTCCTAGTGCTGCAGCAAAAGCAGCTGCTTTTTCTCAGTCTCTTTGTTTTCCCTCCTTGGCCACCTCCTCATCACAGCTATAGAATACTGAGGAGGCAATTCTTACTAACATCTCAAGTGAGCCGTCTGGGTGAAAGCCATTTTTTGTAGCTTTTTCTCTCTAGCCTCCCGTCGCATTGGGACCCAAGAACCACTTAGTGTCCTCTCCTTGGCTGTCAGCACAGGCAGCAAGAATTTCAGCGCAGACCTCTCCAGAGCTCCACACGCTCTTCCACCGCAGCCTGTACTGTCAGGGGAAGAATGGCTTCCAGGGGGTTTCCCTGGTATTGCGCAAGGTCCTCCTGGTTTATAGCTTCCTAATGGCTCTCTTGACCTCTGAGTCTTTGGGTGTAGTCTGTATTCTCATGTTCTCCAAGTCCTTGTTTAGCAGCTGCTCCTATGCTGACTCTGGACCTTTCTGGTTCTCAACAGCAGGGGCAAGAGCGACCCATTGTGTGGCAAGTATTCCCAGGAGTTTCTCCATGTTGGAATGATTCACACACATCCATGGGCAGGCCTCCATAGCCGGTGCCTGGTGGGCCAGTTGTGTCATTACTTCTCTGTGCCAGGATAGTTCTTGATCTGTGGCGGCGACTGGTCTGAGGGCTGGCGTGTGTCACTGTGCGGCTTACCCGGTGCCAAGGCCCTCATTTATCTTTAATTACCTCCTAAAAGCCTTACCTCCAAATACAGTCACATTGTGGGTAGGGCTTTGTCATAGTGAATTTTAGAAGGACACGATTTAGTCTATAACGGTTTTGATGACATATTTTAATGTTTGTAAATAATGTAATTTTAGGTTAAAATGTTTACATTAAATCAACATTTTTACAGTTCTGACAGAATGAGCCCAGGCTCATACTCAAATTAATTTATGTTGGTAATTAGATTGTGATGTTATATAATATACACAAATGGTGATAAACCTATGGCACATGTGCCAGGCAGGTTGTTATCACTGAATGATCTAAAAGGCTCACCCTCACTGGACTATCCTTTTTTGCGCAAGATGTATTCTTCTGTTACGTTTGAATAGTGAGAAAGTCCTCCAGGGTAATTGGAATATCCAACACCTTTCTTTGGTAGTAGCTTTGCTCTGTGGCTTGCTTCTTGCTGTGGCTGTAACTTCTTTAATCAATATTGATACAGTCTCCATAAATTGTTTATTATGCCCTTCAACATGATGACTTCTGTCAATTCTTAAAGGACTCCTGATTTTGCTCCCCTATTTCTGTGATCATTTTCTTTCTTTAAGAATTTAGAACTGTAGAAAGTGTTGATTTTTAAGGTATAGGTGAATACCATTTCTCTTTGTTTGCAGCAACTTCAGTATTATCCTTTCCATCATTAAGACTTTTACCTGTTAAAATAAGGAAAAGAAAGAAAATGGAAGATTCATTGCTGTCTGTGCTATGGCCTGGTAAAACATATCCACATTATGATTTCATGGTGTCAGCTCTCATTAGCTGAAAGCTTATGATAGCAGTCACAGGATGGGGGAAAACTTTCAAAGTAATAGGCAATGTGATGTAATCGCTTTATATGTTAAGGAAAGTATTTCAAAGAGAAATGGTGTTACAATGCATTAGCAATGCCTAGCTTGATGTTATACAGTGTAAAATATACATAAATTCCATTTTATTTTTTGTCCCTTCAAGGGTATTATAGCCAGTCTATTGGTGGCATTGCCCAGAAAGACTTCTATTATATTAGATTTGGACTCAGGTAGATCTGGTAAGGTAGTGGTAGCTGAATCTTGGTGAATGAGGGAAACACTACTGACAAAACCTAGGGAAGTTTCTCTTATAAGGAAATAAACCTAATCCATGAATAAGATTGTAAATAAACATGAATTAGGACAAACTATTTGGGACTGGAAATGAAAAATGAAAGATTGACAGACAGCTGTTTTTGTGTGTGACAATGAAGTGGTACCCTGAAGGAGACAATGAAGCCAGTCAAAAAGACTAGTGAAGGACAGATTTTAGAACAGGAAACCACTGCTTATCTAACTTTCTTATTTTTCTGTTCTTCTGTGGTTTGGAAAGAGTTACCTTACTTGAGGCCTGCATAGCTTGTACTTCTTTTTAGACAGTGAGAACTGAAAGCTGGATGTGGAAAGTAAAAGACATTTGTAACAAAATTTGGGGCCTCAGCATGGTGGTGCATGCCTGTAATCCCATCACTCAGGAGGCTGAGGCAAGAGGATTGCCATGAGTTTGAGGCCAGCCCGGACTACATAATGAGTTCAAGAACAGCTTGAACTACAATAGTGAAATTCTGTCTCAAAAAACAAAACAAAATTTGGTAAAGGTTTGGCAGTTGAACATTATAGTCATTCAAATGCTATACTTTTCCACATTTTCAAAGGTAATAATTGATTTTATTTTCAGACGTACCATGAAGCAAACAGTACAAGATTTCCCATTCCTCAAAGTCATCTCTTTTTGCTGAACTAATATTTTAGTATAGTTTTATCCACATTTTTAAACTTGAAGAGTTATGAACACTTTCAGTAGTAATGTGCTTCTTGCATCGCTTCCTTGTCAGGTGGTTGAAGATTACGCCGGAAGATGGCAGGTCCCTTTGCCACAGCTTCAGGTTCTCCAGACTGCACTTTGTTGCTTTACATCAGCCAGTGCGTCATTCCCAGATGAATGTGAGCACGTACAGTATGTTTTGAGTAGTCTTGCTGTGTAAGTACTCTTTACTTATAAAAATTTTACTTTTCTTGATGTATTTCAGCATTGGTTTTTGATTATTTCTTCTGAGGAAGAAACCTTTCCTAAAGTCTTCCCTCAAAAAGAAGCTTTCACTTCCTCTAATTATTTAATTTTGAATATTTAACCACAATTTTCTTTTTAGTCTGAGTTAAATGGAATTGTTATACACAGATTCTTTTCACTATAGTGCTTGCTTTTAGTTCTCCAGAGTGCATTGGAAAGCTGTAATCCTAAGTCCCAGAATATAGCAGTCGAGGCTGTGAAAATGAGTGGAGAGGAACCTTAAGGCCAAACAGAGGTTAGGAAATTCCTTTTTAAAATGCTTGTGGAGAAGTTTGAGTTAAAGATTATAAACCAGACATTGGTATTTTTTTATTTTTGCCCTCCTAGGAGCCCTCTAAAATTAAAGAAGTAAAATAGAGAACTATAGTGATGAGCTCGTAGAGAAGGGTCATCAATTCATGAAAGAGACGCAGTTTTCTGGAGTTGAGGGAGCAGCTAGAGGAGTGAAACATAGGAGTGTGAGTGACAGCTTCATTTGCTTATGTTCATGTGGCCTCAGACTGCACTCATGCCACAGTGGTGGACTGTGAAATTACTTCTTATCGTTACAGAAGTATCAGAGTATGTCTCACAGGGCAAGTCCTATTTGTGAAACTCTTACTGTTTTATTTACTTTATGTATGTACATACTGATACTTCATAAAATATTTTTTAAAAACTGTGTGGCAGCTTAAACAAGATTGTTCTTTGTCTTATTGAAGGAAATCTGTCTGTCTTGGTTTCTTCCCCCAGGAAGTATAGAATTTGAATATGTAAGATATGAAATACTGAATAGAGAATGAGATCATTTAGGAGAATGCAGATAAAGGAGTTAATTGCATATTTTTCATTCAAACCAGTTACCAGGCTTTAGAACCAGGGTGGGGTAGGTGAAATAGTATTACTCCTTTCTTTTCCTCTCAGAAATTCAGTGATACTGGAGCAGTGTCACTGAACCCTATGTCATTTAAGGATTCCTCATGGAAATTACTGGCTAATTATTTAATTATCCTAAAGAAAAACTGATCAGTCAAGGAACTCCAGATATGCTCCTAAAGCTCCTAATTATTAGTATATGACCTTATTTTTAAATATTAGTGGATATTCAAGAATCATCAGGTATTTGAAGAATATAGTCAACATGAAAAAAGAACAATGAAAGCACACTGAAAATGTTCTGGAAGGATAGTGCTAAAGTTAAAAACCAAAAAAATTAAAATGAATATAAAATCTAGCATTTTCAGGGATATCTGAGAAATATAATATTAAAGCATCAGCATCATGCTGTATAAAAGGCATGAGATATAAAACTGAGGTGGAAATAACATTATATGATGGTTAGAATTTATAGTTCTGGAGAAAGGTTGGAAGTTGCAGTGTTGAAATTATCTTCAAATTATCTTAAAACAAATCAAAAAAAAATTAAAAGGGCCTGTGTACATTATGCTTCTTTAAAAATTCATTTATATTTAAAATTGTAGGAGGAAAGAAAAGCATAGAATATAATGTCATGTTTAGATTTATGAAAGTGAGGCAGTTTTTAACTACATTGTTTAAAATTTCTTTTCTATTCATTTTGTGATGGCTGAAAGTAAGACAGGAATGGTTAGGACTTTTTGTTTGTCACTGAAAAGCCTTACTCAAGCTAGCTAAAAAAAGAAAACAGTAGGAGAGATTTATTAGATAAATCATTTCACCAGGGAAAAGCAAGGACCAGAACTTGTTTTAGGATTTTCTGAATCCAGAGAATAAAATATCATCTGACTGTTCTCTCTTTGCATCTTTTTTCTTTTCCCTTAACTCTTTCTTTCAGAGGTGCCAACAGTTCTAGGTTGAGCTTAGTTTATTAAGCAAGGGAAAAGAATCCCACTACCACCATGACCATCATCTCTTCCACTCCCAGAAATACCTTGGGAAGATCTGTGATCCAGCCTGGCTTATGTGCCCAGCATTTGGATTAATGACTGTTTTGAATAGAATGTGGTAAGGTTTTTGGCTCAGTATGATAAGCCTGCTCCATGACTAGGGAAAAGAGGCATATTCCATTGGCAGCTCCCTCAAAGAGAAAGTGATATTGGAGAGAGAAGCATTTCCTCAAGAAATATGTGAGGCAGTATGAAAGAAAACTGACTAGGTAAAATAGATGTTGCCTACAAAGAATATTTTATTTTGCAGTCTACCAAACAGTTTTAGTTATTTTCCACTAATGTTTTAGGAAAATAAAATAAGCATTAAAAGAAATTAATTATTTATAAGCAATAAGTATTTTAAGCAGAATCAAATATTATATAAGATAGAGAATGCTAGGTAAGAGAAGTTAGTTATCTAGATTACTTGTTAAATAGTAAGTTGTTAAAAGGAAAACTGTCTGCATTATTTGAATTTACCTGAACAGAAAAGTAAATAGTATTTTCCATACCAGAACAAAAAAATGGGAAAGTAGCAGTACAGTACTTAATAGTAAGACTACGATTGCATCTAACATTCCATAATTATTTATTCATTTATTTTTTGTAAAACTACATTTAGTTCTGGGGATAAAATAGGAAATAAGATAGATAAGTCATGTTCTCAAAGACCTAACAGAACTAAGAGGTACTAAAAAAGCATCATGTTATTATGTAATTGCAATTTGGAGATAATGAGAGAGTACAGTAAAGGACTTGACGTGGCCTAGGATGTTAGGGAAAATTTCTGAGTGAGCTATTTGCTGAGTTCTGAAGGAATGATAGATAGGAATAACTTTGATGAAGGAGCAGAAGAACCTCTTAAGGAAGACAAACAGAACATTCAAGGCACTTGGAAGGAAGTCAGAATATTAACAGAATTATATTTAGTATCTGTTTGTAGAATTATTTTGTATGATTTATATCATGTTTAAAATTTTTATATACTTGACATTAAAAGGTATATAGGTGAGTTAAAGAATTTATTACATAATGTCTAAGATTCTGTCTTATATAAGTATCTTGGTTACTTTTCTCTCATTGCAGAGACAGAATACCTGACACCTAAAGTTAAGGGGAGAAAAGTTTATTTCGTTCACAGTTTGTAGAGGTTTCATTCCATAGTCAGCTGGCTCCAAGGCAAGCTGACATGACAGACAAGCACCACAAAGGAGAAACAGTTCATGATGGGCAAAAGGTACCAAAGGAACAACGGACTGCCACAGTTCTTTCTATCCCTTATATTTTACTTAGGGTGGGTAGCACTCACACCCTTAATCCTAGTGCCCTTGATCCTAGCATTGCACTATGAATCAGTTCCAGCATCACACACTCTAGATCCAGCCACCTCTAAAAAGACCCTACCTATGACTGTATGAGGCTTTGCGGGAACATCTAGATACAAGCCATAACAATAAGTATATCATATAAATATAAAATACATGTTGCATGTACAACATGTAGGTTACTATACTGTCTGGTATATACATCCACCTTCATAAAAGTTTATACCTGCTTTATAATTATATATATGTGAAGATCTGTCTTCTGTGGGCTGAGAGACTCTAAAAACTATGTTAAAATTATGTTAACATAGTTAAACTGTATGTTTTAACTATGTTAAAAACTGTTTGAAAATATTATTAAGGCACTCATTATACAGGTAAGGAAAGTTGATTCTATTTCTATTCATGCTTGAGTGTTTTTTTCAAATGTTTTGAAAATGAAGTCATGGAGACAGCTCTCTTAAATAAGTTAATTATTATTTTATCTACCTTTACCTGGGTTGACTGTTTTTGTAAGCTGTATTTTCTAAACAAATGAAAATTTTTCTCTGTATATACGTGAGGTGTTTGAATTAAAATGAAACTTAATTCATTCTTTATGGATTAAAAAACTGATGATTGAGAAGTTGGGAGATTTTTGCAAATCTAAGTTAAGTTCTGATGGGTCTTTTTGTATTCTCTCGTTTTTAGAGTGTATACATTATGATTCCTAAGTTTCACAGTTAAGTGAAGCAAAATACTGTACCCTGAAACTATGTGAACCTTGGGGCAGAGAAAATAGAACATAGCAATTTTATATAACATAAAAGCAAATTTCAGTGCTGCTGTCCCAGACATATTTTGCCTGAATGAAAGTAAATATTTATAGATTTCAGCATCCTAGGCAGAGATGAGTTATGGGACAGTAGGTGTTTGCATGACAGCTTTAAGTCCTTAACTATCACTGCAGGAGTGACTAGTTCAGCTAGGAGCATTTGTATATGCAGTGAAAAAGACTAAAAAGTATTTATCTTAAAATGTCAAGTTGGCTAGAAGACCAGAGAGACTTCTTTTTCATGGAGCTCAGTAAGTATAATTAGTCTCTCATTTAGAGTAGCTAGACATTTTTGGGCTATGCCAAAATGTGTACATAATGGCAGATCCTAATTGTTTCCAATTGTACTGTGTAATTATACTATATTACACACACAGCATTTGTGCCTAACTTCAGTTTCTACTGTTACAACCAAATTTTATTTGGTTGTATTTATAGGTCTAGGCTTCAACCAGTGTAGAAAACAGGATGGAAATCAAAGCAAGAATGACTAATGTACATGTCCATTGAGGGGGTCCACATTAGCACATCCCATTTCTGCAATACTTTATATGGTATTCTTACTGCTTTTTGACTCTTATTGACCAGCCCTTAATATCTTCTCCAGTTTTGCATATATTATCTTTACTAATCATTCATGGCAGGTGACCTTACTAATCTTAGAAAGAAATCTAGACTGCTTGGCCTTCTATTTCTTTACCTTCTCTCTAAAAAAAGAGAGATGTTCATTTTGGGGGTAACTGCTGGCCTTAATTCCATTCCCTTGCTAAATCTCATCAACACTATTTTGTTCTTTACCATTCATTACATTAGAAGGTTTGTTTTCAGGATTTGTTGTAGCTGAAGTCGATACTAGGCAAGTGTTTTACCACTGAGCTACTTCCC